AGTACCAACTTCACATTGTTGGACTCTCGTCAACAAAGCGCTAAGGCTCTGGACTCCTGAACCTCATCGGGTGGAAGCTGTTCTACTCAGGTGTCGATATAACGACGCGCGCTCAGGCCGGTGTTGGTGTTCTGGTAGAACCAAACCTGGCAGATACAATCATTGATTGGAAGCCTGTGAGCGGAAGGGTGGTAATCCTCCGACTGAAGCTACAACAGGCTAAATCGATGACCTTGGTACAGGTCTATGCGCCCAAGTTTGAGGGAGAATATGAGACCTTCCTTGAGGAAGTGCAGTGTACTCTGTCCGAAGTGCCGAATACAGAGTCCCTCATACTCATGGGCGATTTTAATGCGCATGTCGGAGTAGACGCTGAAAAGTGAAACGGTGTGACTGGAAAAAACGACCCTAGTGACCTCAACAATAACGGCATAAAGTTGCTGCGGTTTTATGCAAACAACAGACTGTCCATTATGAACACTTTCTTCGAGCATCGAAGAGAGCATCAGTATACCTGGTACTTCCTGGTGGACATGGGTGGTACAACTGACACTGAATGAAAAGAAGGCTGCATTTAAGAAATGGCTTTGGAACAAAGTCTTCTACTCCCAGATTGTCTGCAAAAGTTCGCAAGAGAGCGGCAGCGAAAGCAGTGGAAAAATGTCAAGGCTATTTCCTGGGAGAAGTTTGGTGCGGTGATGGTTTTTAATTTCGAGACGGCAAACAAGATATTCTGGCAGACAATCTGCCGCTGCAGAGGTGAAAAGAAGGGCAGTCTAAGTCTTGAAGGACAGGTCTGGATACCCTATTACCGAGGATGATGACATGATTCAGCGATGGAAAGAAAATATTGAAGAACTCTTTAATAAAGAAGAACCTCAAGAGCACTCACCTTCAGAGCAGCTAGAAAACGATATAACTATTTACGTAGATGAAATCAAACAAACTTCGAAAAGCTAGAAATGTTGAAAGGCTGCTGAAACTGTTGAAATCCGCCCTGAGATGCTTAAAGCAATAGACGAACAAGTAATGTGCTATTATACATGTTTATCAAACTGCGTGCCGACACTAGCGGACTGCAAAACGTGGGCTTTTGTACCTCTGTTCAAGAAGGGAGACCAGAGGGAGGACTCCAATTATCTGAGCCTCCCGGCGGTGCAAAGTCAGTCTGCGCAAAGGTGCTAGAAAGAAGGTGCTGCAGAATAAAAGGCTCCAAGATACATGAAAAGCATTGTAGCTTCCGACCCAGCCGAAGCGTACCTGACCAAATATTCGTCCTACGCCAGATTGCTGAGAAATCGTGGGAGTTTGCCAGTCCAGTATACATGTGCTTTGTTGACCAGAAAAAGCCTATGACCGGATCTCGCGCAACAGTCTGTGGTCATGCCTCTGAGTATACCGGAGAGATGGTCAGCTGCTAAGGGCCATCCAATGACTGTATTCTGATACATGGTGCTGCGTCAGAGTAAATGACGTTAAACCGAAGCCATTCAACGTTGGCACTGGTCTTCTCCAAGGCTACGTCCTACCCCCTCTCCTGTTCGTGTTGTACATGGGTAGAATAGTCAGGAGCATCCAAGGCGATGAGTGTATCGGTGTAGGAGATGTGAAGACGAGAAGGTTGCTGTTTGCAGACGACCTTGTTTTATTAGCATCTT